CTTCCCCCCCCCCCCATTCCGTCCATTGGTTACGAAAGAACACCCGCCTTTTTCATTTTGACAGTTAATCTAAATCGAAAAAGGCCCTATTTGTAATCATTGGTGGATGGCAGGAAAGAGAAGATTGAACGTGGTTGTTGTATTACTATCTTCTTGGAGCCGAAAATATCTTAAGCTCTTAGAAGGAAGGGAGTCAATGTAGCATTGTCTGTTGTGTCGTGAAATGTTCTAAGAAGTGTATAAGTGTGATACTCAGCCAGAACACCGCGTTAAAAATATAAAGCACTACCTTTCATGGAATAGATCAAATGAGGATTCCCGTAAGATTTAATTCCCATCTTCAGACTCTTGTTATCCTAATAAACAATCCTTTTATGAACGTTTGGGCGTGAAAATGAATGACTGTATTTGAAAAAGCATCGAGAGAGGTCAACGCCGAAACACTTAGAGCAGGTTGTTATTTGGGTGAAGAGCCCTTGGGGTTAAATCAGTGACAGCTTGTTGATGCAGTACAAGCAGGCAACATGAACGCCCTTATTACTGGGCACTCATGATCGAGGATAATTCTTCGATAGAAAATGAATTCGCAAGAACTCTGGATTCGGCTGATTAATGAAAGTATCCCGGAGGAAGATTACATGACTGTATTTGTATAAATATGGAACTCCGTACGTAACCACTTAAATATTTTTATTTTCCAAAATAAAACACCCTCGGAGTGTAGCTCTAAAAACTTTCTTTAACGAAAATTCGATCTTACTTTAGGGGAAACGCGGTACTATACCGTCTATGAATAGGCATCTTTATCCTACCCTCCAGGTGTGGTAGCATGTTTTACTCACAATTCGTTTTGCCATTTCTCATACCGTGCTTGATCAAGTGCGTTGTACATTTCAAGGAAATAAAATGCTTGTCCATCGCAAGTAGGACTTGGGATTCGCAAACCTATCAAGCGTTCATAATGGAGGCTTCGCAATCGTGTCCCATTTTCTCAAACGAATGTCTAATTGTTGCTAGGCTGTTCTATAACTAAGGCCCCAATGCTTACAGTTTCTCTGACATTGACCAAGATGAACAGCTGAATCATCTGCGGACCGAGTCGAGTGAGCGCCTACTGCTATACAGTTTGAGCGATGCATCGTGGGATGGTCATGATCTGTCAGGCGATCGTGACTCGACGGTGGCAAGTGTGTGGATCGACGCCGGGTGTGTCGGACCTATCCACTGATTTCGGTTAGCATCGTTAAAAATAAAGAAACCGGACAACTTGGCAAGAG